GTTAAGTTATGAAAAGTAAAATGCAATTTTAGTGCATTTGCAGGAAGACATTAACTTCTATATGTAGTTTAATATGTAGCAAGCAAAAACTTTTACTAAAATAAAAAAAAAAAAGGGGACAGAAAACACTGTAATGGTGATTCCTAGCAGGAAAATCATTTGTTAAATATTATGTACTTCCAAATTCCAATGAATTAGGTAAATCTAGTATATACCCCATGAAAGCCAGCTGGTTGTCATGCTTCAGCTGTTCTCCTAATAAGACATAGTCAGATTTACAAATGCTACAATTTGCAGCATTAGAAACCTTATCCAAGACTGCCTCGGCTGTTGATATGCATGACATTGCATGCTGCCTCCTGATGAGCTCCTGAATAGCAAGTGGGGTAAAGTCATCACTGCTGCATTTTTCATTTTCATTAGTTGGAGGTTGATCTTGATATGAGATAACTGAATCCTTCATGCCACTGCTTCTATGTTGAACCTGTTTAAGTGATGTATTTTGCAATGTCAACTTATTCAGATATGCACTGAGGTTGTCATGCCGTGTTTCTGAAAGGTCACTAAGATCCATCTCAATTGCTGCTGTCAAAACAGCTCTGAGATGTGTTTCCCTCAATGGTAAATTTTGAATAAAGTGTTCTAATATAAAGCCTCTTGCCCTTCCAAGGGTAGCAGATGACAGATGTGCAAGACCCTGTAACAATAAAAATAAGAGCACAATTATACTGAACTTTTCCATATGCTGTTGCTTAGTGCTATTTACAATTCATGGTTCAAAAATAAAATGCAGCCTACAAGATTAGAACCTGAGGGAAGGAAGGATCAGATGTCATTTCAAAAAGAGCTGCATCAAGTTCCTCCACTGAGTCTTGGTAAATATCCTCCTTGCATAAACGTGTAACCACCTAGATAATATAATACATGGTGTGTCAATTAATTTCCCCTTATAAATAGACTACTTAAATCTGTAGAAAATCTATAATAAAACCATCCACCTTAGATGGACTACTTTTTTTTGGCCATCACTTTACATTGGACTACTTAAATCTGTGGAAAATCTATAGTAAAACACACGGAAAAACACAACCGGAACAATTGCACACACATTAGGCCCCCTCTTCTCAAACCCAATTCAAGCAATAGACGATAATTACAGCATCAGAAAATGAAGACGATATCCAGCAAAGAGTCTTCTGAAAAATTCGAAGTCCGATTTGTTTAAGTCCAATTACATAGAAATGAAGTTGAAGGAGGAAACATTGGACTGGAAAGTTAAAGAGGAACAGAAATTCCTTATTTTCCCCTTGGGGCTTGAGCAAAAAATTAAAAATTAAAAAAAAAAAGAAGAAGAAGAAGAAGAAGAAGAAGAAAATCCCAGCTTTCAGAAGAAAATAGCCAAAACCGAACAATCTCTATGCTTTAATTATCATAAAATCCACCTTCTTAAACTACTCAAGTATTGGGTATCCTAAAGTTCATACAAACAATAAAATCAACCCGGCAATGATATAGAAAAGCTTGGAATCATCTTCTTTCAAAAGGAAAAAAAAAAGAAGAAGAGAGAAAACAATATATGCAACACTAGGTACTGACATTTTCAAAGAAGAGAGCCCAGTGGAAAGCTCGGCTGATGTTATCAGCATCCCAGTGAGCGGGAAGACCAGATGACTGATACCCAGATGCCAGAATCAGAATATCTACAAACCCTTTTGTCAGTTTCATCAGTTGTTCAAAGGATATATC